TTGGGGACAAAAATGCTCTAAAACTGAAACAATGTGTCGGTGTAATTTATGTCATACCAAAAAATAAATTCGGTTCATATTCCGATACGTCATTGCTATAAAAATCGTCTGCACTTTTGCCAATATGTCTTTACAATAGTCTAATATTAGATCATTTTAAATAGAAAGAACTGAAGACGCGCATTGATCATTGACCCATTTATAAAACAATTTTCCCGTTATTAACGACGTTAAACAACATACATTTGCACTCTACAAGAGTACAAAATTCTATTTTTGTGGATAGAAACACACACTTCTGCCATCCAGTGTGGAAATGTACTTTAATTAGGTTTATGTAAATTGTTGCTCAATTGTCGGTAATTCCCAGCTTGTCTTGATTTAGATTTAGGTGATGATACAACAAAGACACTGTAGGGAATCTGGGATTATATCGATTGACTATCTCAGTCAAGATTTTGATACAATTGGCAAAATAATCGCGTTTTGGATGTTTGTATTGCCTGTTTCCACTGATAATGCTAGAGCACGTGCAAAATATGGGCTAATTCTGAGCCAATTTGCATCAACTACTACAAAAATTGTCAGAAAAGGCGATTTATGGCGTGGATAGTAAAAATAATTTATTAGCCTCGTCCAGAGAATAAAACAAGAAATAAAACACGTGACTCACACTAATGTTATCCGAAGAATACAGGACTTTGTGAGATAAATGCATTTTATATCTATAGAAAGTTTTCAACGGATTAAAAGTAATAATTTGTAAGCGTGAAATAAATTGGTGTTTTTCGAAGAATTTCTGAGTCTAGTTGACAATGGTTTGTAATTCATCATTTCAACTATGCTCAACCATAAAAAATTGTAAATCAATCTGTAATATTGCTCAGAGGCATTATAATAATGGTTTTGAGCACATCTCCCAATACAGCCATAATTGTATTACTAAGTCAAGTAATGTAATTATCTTGGAAAATAACTGAATTATCAATATCGAACGAGTTTTAACAGTCAACAAAGTTACCGCTTTCGTCTTTTTAATCTGTTTTGCGTGGATCAAAGAAAATGAAAAATCAAATAACAGATAATTCATTTAGAAATGCTTTTTACTTGTTATTGTTTCCACTGAAAAATGAATTTACTACTCATATAAGCTTTCACTTTTAGTTATTTCAGATTTTGGTATTTAGTTACAGCAATAAATCAAACAATTTCAAACACAGATCAATACAGCTATTTGAACGACGTGTATGTATCTGTATATCAATTTAAAAGCGAAATTAATGGCCTTGTACACGTTTTAAATAATATCACATTTAAATTAACAAATGTATTCTACTCCATCAACTTTCACGATGATACAGTATTGTCTAATTTTAACGGTAAACTTCCCATGTGTGTGAATTGTGAAATAAAATATTATCATTTTTACAACTCAATTCACCAAAAACACAATACTGTAATGACGTCAAATTGTTAAAAAGTAATATAAAAGGAAAAACACTGATAATATGATAATGCTAATAACACACTTCAAATGAAAAGCTACCTGATAATGTCCAATTTTCAAACTTTTTTACCACTAGTAAGGCCCCTCTTGAACACTTTGTTTTTAAGGAGAATTAGTAATAAATAAATGTTTTTTCTTCGTTTTCATGTTATCAGGCTGACATACATTGTTAGAATATTGATTTTTAAATAGTGTACACGTTAGAAATAGATTTACAACACAAAACAAAAAACATTAGCCTAAAAAACCACCTAATCTACACATAGAGTACATCCTAAAAGCTTTGTTTGGACTTAGGGTGAGTAATTGTGTTCCAAACAAATAAATCTAGGTTGAGTAAAAAACGCGACAGTAATGTATGGGGTGTAATAAATTGAACCCACGTGTCAAAATTAGGTTTTATTATTTTGAGTTACTTGAAACTTTCTTTTCTCCATTCGGTAAGCCGAATATTATGTTTTGCTATTTTACAAGAGGATGGAAGCAGTAGTTCCGGTCCCACAATAAAGGAAAAAAATCTTAAACAGATACTGATTCTGAGAACCGCAAAAACCACACGACTTCCGTGTCAGTAGTATTAAAATAGATCATTTAAATCTACGCATAAACAATTCCTCTTATTTGAACTACTTTGATTCATAAATTAGAAACTGTCGGTAAAAAATAATGAGAAAGTATCTGAAGATGCAAATTTGCATGTGGCACGACATCTGTTACGCTTTGATTTCCAACATTTCAATAGCAGTGAAAATTTTCAGCTAGTCCCGATTAAAAACACCTAAATTTAGCACTACTTAAATTAAAACACAAAACTTTTCGCTTTATTATTACAAAATGTGATTTGATTAGGAATTCATTGAACCCGCAAGTAATATTGGCGACATTCCGAAATTACGACTCAGAGTTTATCAGAATCCTTAGTTTTTAAGAGACGAGAAATTACAGCAATTTCTTGTGAATTCATTCATTTGGAAGATTGACTCATTGCAGATGATTCTAAATATTTAATTAAACACCTCTCTCTCTCTCTAAAGTGTACAAACAAGATGTAAGATTAATCAAAATTTCTAGGAATAATTTGAGTTTAGTTCAAAACATCGGCTTTTGTTCTAAGATCGTATTGCTGTGTCGCGATAATGATATTAATGTTTCATAATAAAACAAGTGTGTTATATAAATTATAAGTACCGACAATGTCACTATTATCAACATCAGAGTATTTTATTACAGTGTGATAAAACCAATGAACGGAACTAGAAATTTTACTATGTTTCATTGCCCAAAGGTAGAAATTAAACCGGCTTATTTCCCCTAGAATACTGTAATATTAAGTAAACGAAAGTATTGGGAATTATCAATGAGACACACGTTAGATAATCTTAATTTATAGTTAAATATGGTAATTCTTTTCATTGAATACTAGTCACGCATTCATTGAGCAAAATCGTACTTCGGGTCCCAACTAATTAAATTTCCCAAAGTAACCAAAACTGTACTTGATTCATACTTACCCAGATTCAAAAATCGTAGGTAATTGGATAATACCCTGCACACAATAATGCTATTTTCGTCCATGATCGAGGTTTTTAATTAAGTTGAAAGAGCTTGCGAATCATTGATAGTGAATGAAATTTAGTAGCTTGATTGGTTATTCTATCATTGATAGGGTGTTGAAGTTGAGTTGTTTTTGGAACAGGTGGCCGAGTTGGTTTTGGGTTAGCAAGTTATTAAATAGTGTGGCATGCCAAAGACTACCTACACAGTTTCTTAAGTAAATGTTGCATTGAATGTAGTTTTTTCAAGTCAGCAAGAAGCACGTGCCGACGTCACAGTTGGATGGTCCAGAGTTTTGACACCTGTGAGTGTGATTAAAATAAAACAAGGTGTCCACTTAAATCTTTTTTTTATTATACGTATATATCACAAATCGTATTTGGCTCTCAGATCGCACTCATTATCGCAACATTATTACTTAGTCTACAAGCATTCATCTTCAAGCACGCATCACTTTTGATTGAAAAAAGTTTATGTTACAAACACAGATCTTTTGATAAAATAATATTAGATTAAATTATGTACAATATGAGCTCATGATTATTACAGTACCATCAAAGATGAGATAAGTATGCATGATAAAGGCCCAGTAAATCATTTTTGATTAGGCCGATTAATAAACATCAACCATTAAGACATTCGCAAATTGTGTATCTACTTTTCAGGCACTATCAAATGTAGATTTTATGATAGATATGATTTGGTTTAAAAAACTTGTAAATAAAATATTTATGCATCGTTTCCGTTGATTTTTGTTCCATGTATAAAAATATAGATATTGTGCATTTTCTAAGCCAATATTCTTCATCCATGACGTTAAGTATACTAGAAATGAGCATTATTTATAAATGTAAATTTATAATTGTCCACAGTGCTATAATGTAATTATTAAGAATTCACACAAGCAGAGTGTCGCCTGTTGTAACACATTGTTCCCATAAATTTAGAGAAATGAGGCCGCTATTAGAGCACTGTACAACAACAGTAACTTTTCTTTTCCTTTTCGGGGCTAAAGTTCATTTCGCGAACAATTTCAGCGAACACTTCATTAACGTTGGTCTTGTTCTTGGCGCTTGCCTCGATAAAAGGACAACCCCACTGTTGAGCTAAACTGTTGCCCTCGCTAGTTTGCACCTCTCGTTGATGGTCCAAGTCGACTTTGTTGGCCACGAGAAGAATCGGCACCCTCTCAGTACCCTTCACCCTCGTTATCAGTTCTTTCATGGACTTGATGTCCTGGAACGTCTGGTGGTTGGTCAAACTGTACACCACCACAAACCCTTGCCCGTTTTTGATGTAAAGGTCGCGCATACTGGCGAATTGTTCTGTCCCTGCCGTGTCCAAGATTTCCAACACACAAGGGGAATTGTCCACTTCAATTTCCTTCCGATAGAAATCCTCAATTGTCGGATCGTATTTTTCCATGAAACATCCGGAAACAAACTGAACCGTCAATGCACTTTTCCCAACCCCACCCGATCCGAGAACCACAACTTTGAACTCACGCATTGTTACAATTTTGGGATTAATTGCTCTTCCAACACACTTTGTGCCCACACGACACAAGCATAAGCGGATTGGTTGCCTTTATGAATATCACCTTTATTAGATTAAAGCAATCCATTTCAAAATACAGACAAACACACTACGCCATCTTAGCGAACTGTTCATCTCGCAGCGTTTCTCTAATAAACGTAAAGCCACGAGGAATGACTCGGAGTTAGAACATAACGGGGAGGGGCGAACACCGAACACAACCCCAGACACATCTTACGCGCATGATCACCACCAACACTCGCAACTACGCACAACTAGCGTCATCTATCCCACACCAAAAAACTTAAAACAGAACACTTGAACACGCCTATACATTTAGACATAAAAACTTATTTTACTATAAACAACATAAAAATCAAACTTTACATCCTTTCATCAAATTAGATTTCAATCAAAAACAATCAAAATAAAACTTAACACAAAACTCATAATTCCCGGGTTTATAACGCCATCTGAGGCTAGTTCACAACCACAAATTTCTGAAATTCTCTCCTCCCATTTGCACCCATCAGTAAACAAATTAAGTACATACTTCCCATTAGTGTGTTTCAACTATTTGGCTATCTTAATTATCTCCAAAAACAAATTATTTAGCATGACCCCGAAATTGACTTAGTGACTCATAATTTGACAGTTTCTCACTAACAAAAATCAGAAAAAATCTTTTCATTGGTTATTAACACCAAAAAGTACGTAGGTATGGATCTAGTGTGCTCAATTTCCGAAATAATTCTAATGACGTAACACCCTGTATAGTTTGAAAAGTCACAAAGATAAATATAGATATCATCAGTGATGTTATCTCTATTATTAAATACTTTTTTTACTAGTTTTTGAAGATGTCGTATCCTCCACCCGGTGGAGTCTACCCCACGCCGTACAATGGTGAGTTTTTGGGGTAAATTATTGGTACTATAGAAGCTTTAGGTCAGTACCCACCTGTGCCCCCGGGTCAGGGCTATGGAACGCCCCCTCCGCCCGGTTATGGACCACCTCCAGGGTATGGACCGCCGCCGCAAGGCTATCCTCCAGGGCAGTACCCGCCTCCGGGCCAGTATCCACCCCCAGGCCACTACGGACCTCCCCCACCAGTGATCAACCAACCGATGGGTCCAGGAGGTGCACCAGGTATATTTACTTTTATAAAATGATAAGATAAATATTTAAAAGAATAATAACAATTGAGTACACTGAAAAACGTTGTGTTGTGTGTGATTCTTTTTTGAATAATCATGATGATGTTTCTATTAACTATTAATAAATTATGGAAATAAATATGGAGTGAATGATCTGTAGTTGATAAAAAGTGTTTGTTTGTCTTAAAAGTTGATAGGGGAATAATGGGTCAGTTCTAACTATGTCTGAACTAAGAACACAATTCAATTTTAAGGCAATTCCGCGAATATTAGTTCGGAAACTTGGGAAATTATTTCGGATTAAAAGATCACCAAAAACCAAGGGTTACCACAAATTTCTCTCAGAAAGTGAACAAAGGCAAGTACACACACCTTAATAATAACAATGTTTGCGAAGTTACACGTAATTATGAAATTACCTCTCGCCTTATCAAGAATTTTCGTGTGTTGACAAAATTATGCAAGTACCTATTTTATGAACACAATTTAATTCTTAACGTTCTACTTAAGTTTTTTTTTTAATAAAATGAATTATCACTACGGTGAGCACAACTATGAAACTAGTAAATTGAAGTATTGGAATACAAAATGTTTTTTTGTGTAAACAGGTGGTTGGATGAATATGCCGCAAGGACAAGTCAATTGCCCTCCCGGATTGGAATACCTTACTATGATTGACCAATTGCTAGTCCACCAAAAAGTCGAATTATTGGAAGGTATGGAAATTAACTAAATTTCACCCCGATTTAACCCCCGTTGTAGCTCTCATTGGATTCGAAACCAAAAATAAATTTACTGTGAAAAATAGCCTAGGCCAAAAAGTATATTACGCCGTTGAAGACTCCGACTGTTTGACTCGAAACTGTTGCGGTCCAATTCGTCCTTTCGACATGAACATTTTAGATAATTACAAAAACGAAGTGATTCATTTACACCGTCCTCTGGCATGTGATTCTTGCTGTTTCCCGTGCTGCCTCCAAGTACATATCACGTCGAAATTGTCAATTATTCAATTATTTGTTCCAGAGCATAGAGGTTTCAGCACCTCCTGGCACAATTGTAGGAACAGTTGAGCAAGAATGGAGTATCTTTTGTCCCAGTTTCGCGATTAAAAATCCAAGTGGCGAAACGGTTCTGCGAATAGAAGGGCCGTTTTGTACTTTTAGTATTTGTGGAGACGTCGAATTTAAAATAATGTCAGCTGATGGGAACACACAAGTGGGGAAAATTTCAAAACAGTGGTCAGGTCTTATCAGAGAAATGTTTACGGATACTGATTATTTTGGGATAACGTTTCCGATGGACTTGGATGTGAGAATGAAAGCTGTCATGCTAGGAGCTTGCTTTTTAATTGTAATTTACTAATTGTGGAAAACTCTAAATTAATTATTTTCTTCTAGGATGCTATGTTCTTTGAAAAATCGAGAAATAAAGAAGAGGATACTCCAGGAATGCTTTAGTTTTTGCATTTATGTGATGTGTCGTTTATTTTTATTTTAAGTGTCTTTGCACAATGTATTTTTTATTGTTAATTCTATAAAGACGTGTCAATATTATTAATGCTTACAAAATGGCCTTCCCGACTATAAATTAATATATTATGTTCTTAATACTATTACTAACTATTTACATATTATATTCTCGTAATAATTGTACAATTTACCAATATAACGTTACCAGTAGGCGTACTCTTCATTAATTAACTTCTTACTCTACTTCGCATTAATACTAACGCTTTTTTGCTCAATTTCATTCGCATTTCACACGAGTCAAAAAGAACAGTTTTAATAAAATAACGATTTGACAATCACAAATAGGTAAGTAAAATTTTCGTTGTTTTTAAAGAAAACAAGTTTCATATCTTGAAGCGCGAATTCAAGTTTAAAAAACGAGTTTTTTATACTATTTTTGGTATTTTGTCCTCATGTCGTTTTAGGGATTATTGTGACGTTTGGTAATGTCTTAATTTTAAAAGTCAATATTTGATTTAGTCGCCTTTTTGACTATAAAGACATTAGAGAGTCTATTAAAGAATCAAAATGGAGGCAAATTAGAAAAAAATAATACAGTGCTTGTAAGAAAAACTGTTGCTAGACATGTTTAAAATGTTGGTTATGGCGGAAAATATAAAAAACTTGGCATGTCACTATAATTTTTGCAAAAAGTATTGTTAGTCAAAAGTCATATAATCGTTTAAATTAATATCAGATTAGTGTGTATCAATTTTATCATTCATCCGGTGTACAAAATGTGGGAATTCAGGTGATTTATTAACAGACGAAATTAACATAAAATTGCATTTACAAATAGGCTGTGTTACATTATATTATGCTACATGCATATTAATCTGAAACGACATTCTTTCAGGCAAAATTTACAACGAAATGCTTTCAGCAGTTTGATTAGTTTTAAAATAGCGTTATAAATCTTACTGGAACGATAAAATTCGGTAATAAAACAATTTCTCAGTTGAATGAATATAAGCAGAAGTAGTCAAAAGAAAACAAATCTTTCTATTGTGGAAGGAAATAAACCGTGGAAAACACGTTTCATATTCCTGAAACCTAAATCCAGGGAAGTAGAGGAACAATTGAGCTCAAGTTTAGGATGAAATTTAATTCGAAAATGGCCGCGTTAGTAAAATGAAACAAAGAGGGAGTTAGGTTGGTAGCAAAAATGGTGATATAAATATTGTAAATATGGATAAACATAACAGGAAATGGGAAATTAAAAGTGAGAAAAGGCGATAAATTTACATATGAAAAGTGAGTGTAGTCTAATAGTGTGCCAAGTTCTGTAATAAAAGTAAAATAACGAAGGAAAACATAAAGCCCCGTTTGTTAAATAAAGACTTCTTGTGTTCTATTTTTATTTATTGTGTTGGTGCGCATGCTTGGCGTCGCTGGGGGATGTTTCAATAGTCGCGCGAACACGTCGGAAAATGATGGAGTGGGAAGGTTCTGTCAACCGCGATTTCATATGTTTGATTTTTTTTTGACGCGTTGTGTCGCGAAAATAGCAAATAATATGACATAAACACCCGATATTGTCATGGAGTGGAAGTTTATGTTATGGTTGCTACCCAGTTTCGTGTTCCAGTTGTGTATCTGCCTCGATCAAGGTATGCAAGATGAAATGTTTATTTTCGTGTGTGGACGAGCATTTCTTCTTATTTCAGCGTCGTTTTACGGTAGCAGTCACATCTCATTCCCATTCCAAGAAGCCAAAAGCTCGACAGATGTGCATTTTCGGTTTCGGACTCTTCTACCCAATGCCTTGATACTCCTTGTGGCAGGCACTACCGACTACTGCATTGTTAGATTAGAAAACGGCAGAATTAAAATTAACATTAACCTAGGAGCCGGCGAATCCGAACTCCTATCCCAACACACTTTCAAACTAAATGACTTCAAATGGCATGAGGTTACAATCACCAGAAGGGAAGCTAATTTGTCGATGCAAGTTGATAACGCACCACTTGTACAGTAAGTCACTACGAGGACAAAGAAATCATCATTTAACCTACGATTTGTCTCAGGAAACAACTTCCTGGACAATTTTTTGAATTAAATATCCACTATGGCCTCTTTATTGGCGGCCATGGCAACTTCTCAGAGATTTTTTTTGGACATCTTGACAATTTTAGAGGATGTTTATCAGAGGTAACTAAAATAAGGAAAGCAGAAATGAGCTAATTATAACCCTCATGAATATCCCCGTTACAAGCCAAAGCTTTCACATTACAAAACAAATAAAAATTACTATATCAATGAAATTCCCTGATTTTTGCGTTAAGTTGCTAATTCATTCGTATAATTAATTATACGAAAAAAATTAAAAAAAATCGTAATTGACATTTTTACTCGTTAAGTAAATGTTTTATTTAAATCGAATTTTCCAATTTGTGTCCTCTCCAAGTCGCAAGTGATTCATTTATTTTGGTTTCTAAAAAAATATTCTTCGCTATTTATAACTCCCTACCCACTGGATGTGCGTAAAAACGATTATTAGGGTGGAAAACCATTAGAAATTCGACACTTTAGTTTAGAAAAAGTGTTTCTAAAAGCAGAACATTTTTTTCGAATCTCTAGCTCCAGTTTCAAGGCTTTAAGTTAAATAACAGACACAATTCGGATGTACTTTATGTTTTTTGCGATTTTGAATGCGAGTTTGAAATCTGTTTTAATTTTTATTGAAGGAATTTTGAGAAAATCGCACTTAAATGCCTAAAAATGTTTTTCTTGGCTGTTTTCATACTTTTTCCGTTTAGAAACAAAGTCAACTTTTGAATTTTTTGTGCAGAAATCAAATTTGTAACCTTTATCGGTCTTACTTTTTCGTATAATTACGTTGTCATATTATGAAAATTTGATCTACGAAATTCAGAAATAACTTACCTATATCTATGCCTACCTATACAGGTGTCCCAATGAAAAAAAAAACTAAAAAGACCTTGCAAAACGCCAAAACAGGTAAATTTTTTGACATTTTTTGTATAATAGGTATATACATACCAGGTGAATAAAAAGTATGGAACCAAACGTTTTTTGCTTAAACTATTTATTTTTTGAAAAAACTAATTGATGAGTGATAAAGTACTATAAAAATGTGATGATTTAACAAGAATAAAATTTTTCGAAATTTCCTTTTGTTTTTGAGTTCTACAAAAAAAATATTTTTTTAAATGACAACCCACTATAAAATCATTTTTCTCATAAAAGCTATACTCTAAGGATTACAACTATCTGCTTTATATTTAATTTTTTCAAAAAATTTTTTTCACATAAATTGCATTTTTGACAAAAAAAATCGCATAACTCAAATACAAAACAAAATTTCGTTCTGAAAATACGATCACATTTTTTTTATTACTTTAATTTATATTAATTATTATTTTCTGGAGGCAAATGATTAAAAATAAATCCGCTTGGTTCCATACTTTATATTCACCCTGTATAATAATTTTACAGGATGAAATAAAATTAAAAATATAAGAATAAAATTAAATTAATAAAACCGAATGCTGTAAAATATCTAACGCACAAATACACATAATTAGAAAAAAAATATCAAAAAAACAGTTTATTTTACAAAATATCCTGTCGAAATAAGTGTGGTTTAATAGTCTACAGTTTTGATTTTTTTATTACGATATGGTCAAAAAACCACCAAAACTATTTTTCATACCGAAAAATTCATGATTCACTTTTTGTTGCTTTAAAGCAAATCGATAAAAAATGTCAAGTCAAAAGTGAAAATACACAATAATCTGTTATTTTCTATCTTTGTTTGTATAATGATAAGCCACATTATGCTGTCCTTCTTCAAGAGTGACCAAAACTTTGTTAGTTTTAGAAAACTTGTTTGAAATTGCGAACTTTGTTTTTTAAATGAGTATTTTCAGTAATTATTAGAACCCAAACTTAACTAAAATAATTTATATAATTAATAATAATAATAATTAAAAAACAAATTTCATAAACGAGTTTTTTATATTACTTTTGTAATTTGCCCTCTTTATGCCGTTTTTACACAAAAATTTTTACTTTGTCGTAATTTTAAAAGTCAAAATTTGATTGACTATTTTAAGACATCACACATGAAGACAAATTACAAAAATTACCTATTATAGAACCTTTTTTCATTATACCTATAGTAGAATCAAGATCTTTAAGGCAGAGGGAGGGAGATGTGAGAGAAACAGACAGTATATCCGACCAATTCGGTATTTAAATGCAAACCGGTTGCCCCATATTGCAACCACCGCTGGCTAACTGGATATGCAGGGTTGGATTCAAAAACATTTACATAAAAAACTACTAGTTCAAATTAAAAAATATTTTTTTAAAAAAATGTCCTCTTCAGCTAATAACAATTTAATGTAAAAAATATATAACATTTTTATCACCCAGCTAGAACCACGTGTAGGTATGAGGACGTTTTGACAAAAATTAAAAAATAACACACACAAGCGAATGAAAACTTAAGCCAACCCTGATTACAACAGCACGAGACGGGCACGAGTCATAACCAAACCAGATTTCCAGACGCAACTGACCATTTTAACAAGGTGTTTTTTTACTCTTTGCTGCCTCGAAAACAAAATTGGTCGAATGTTTCAACCACGCGTGAATTTTTACGACTGAGGACAAAAAAAGGGACTCGAAGTGAGTCTTATAAAAATTGAACCAAGTAAACAACAAGATGAACAAAAAGTATTGAACTAAGCGGTTTTTTTTTCACTTTCAAAGGTTTAAGTACGATTCTCAAAATTCTTTCAATAAAAATTAAATCCGGTTCGTATTTTCATTCACCATCCCCCAAAGACACCCTCTTTTGAGGGCAAAAACATTGAAAAGATGAGTCGATCTTAAACAGTAGATTGGTGATTTTATTACAACGATAAATAAAATAGCAGCAGTGACTTGGTGAGTTATCTTGTTATGAAAACTTGCAGAGCAGAGAATAGGTTTCTGTGTTGCATTTTGGGTCAAATGTGTAAAGTTTAATAATAATAATACGTTTCTTGTGAATGCAACATGTCATCTGCGCATAAAACAGCTTGTAAACATAATAAAAGCTGGTGACCCAAATTCGTTGAAATTGAGTAAATCTTAAATTTGGAATTTCTTCCCTTTTAGTTAAGCTATAACGGCCTAATGGTCCTTGAACAAGCAAGGCT